AAAGGGAGCCGGTTTCTCTGTTCCGAGAACCTGGGCATCGAACACCTCAGTGGCGTACTTGTACCGCAGGTCAAAGAAAGCCCAGTCGGTGTCCGGATGGATCATAGACCAGGCCATCTTCATGCGCTCTTCACAGTCACGCTCATTCTCGCCGATCAGCTGGTCTTGCTCAGCCGCCAGCTTCCCCTTATGGTCCGCCTGGGTCTGGGCCAAATCATTCTTCAGGCGGTTGACCTCAGACTGCAACTCAGTATTCTCCTTGTCAGCCTCCCCTAATGCTTTGACATCAGCTTGTAGGTTTTTAACTTGAAGTTTGAAGTTGGCTGCTTTCTTGTTGGCTGTGTCAGTAGCAGCCGTGAGCTCCTTGATTAGCTCCTCCTATTTCATCTCCCGGCTTTTAGTTTGAATTTCATACATAAGGGTGTTATATTGGGTAACATCAATAAGGTCGGCTTCCCTTCTATTGACATCCCTTACCTCCTCTTGCTTCTTCCACAAAGGGACCTTCATGCCGTCCACCCTTAGCATCACCTACACAATCAGCCGGAAAAGGGGTTAGTCTTTCAATCACGATACAACCGGCAAAAGAATAAAGTGGCACAAAAGCACCCCAACCGGTTAATTACCTCAGCGAGCAGTGAGTTGATGCGGTCTATGTTGACTTGGTGCACACCCGGCACCGCCTCCTTCTCGGACCGGGTGAGGGTCCTCAGCATTCTCTTGGAATAATTTTGGAGGTCCGGCTAACGAGAAGAGGCATCTGCATTAATAGATTTATCGGTTAAGTATTGAGCGTAGGCGGCACCTATATTCTGTCGGCTGCCTGAAGAATCCCCTGATTGGGTAGCTTGGGACTTGACTCGCATAAGCTCAAGCGGCTAGGGGGGTTTAAAGGTGAGAGTCGTACCTTGATTTTCAAGCTAAGGGGTCAACCACCCCAAGCCGCATTAGAGTCGGACGCTACAGCAAGCACCCGTCTTGAGGGAATTTCGGGCTCCCTCGTTCCAACCTCAGCCGGCCCTGTGCTTAGGCCAAGGTCTTTCAGGCTTTTGCCTGCTGAGGTAGGCCTCTCAGGCACAAGCGGCCTTCCGGTAGAGGCAGGGGCAGTCGGAACCCTTCTTCATTTGGAAGCAGGCTGGGAGGGCTCCTCTCCCAGTCTCTTCAGCATCTGTCTTAAAGAACGAGGAACATTCTTGCTCCCCGTCTGAAATAGAAGACCAAGCAGCCGGTTAATATCAAAATTAGCTTCAAACCATACAAACGGTAAAAGAGCTTAGCTGGCGCTTACCCCATCATCTTTGGCCGCCAGTTAGGCCCTCTTTTTCTCCAACTGATCCTTCCGGGTCTATGCAGCAGATTTAGCCGGTGCCTTTTCAAGAGGCACCATCTCTAATCCTTTCTCTGCAAGGAAGGAAAAAAATCAAAAAGTCAAAACCCATTCAAGTATGTTACATACGGCATAAAGTACCGGTTAACAATCAACATACGTCTGCTCCACATTGTGTTGAGGCCACAGGCGGAAAGGAACGCCTCGTCCTTTAGCAAGTCCGGATGAGGGACCCAGTTGTTGGCGACAATGACTTCTGTCCCATCATCCAAAGGCAAGGAGGTCTTTTCGAAGAGACCCGTCTCCATTATTTGTGTCCAAGCCTCTTCCGGCACCCTAGGAAGGGCACATTTCTTTCTAAGGAGAGCCGAGTATGTATTGTAGCGACGCAGCCGGTGGTTTAGTTGCAGCAATGGGGAAGAAACCATGTAAAACTTGTCGTTCCAGCTGCTCCACTTTGACGGCTTGTCAAGCGTCATCATGTATTCCGGGTGCGTGGTCAATGTATACCACGCATTCTAGCCACCTGGGGCACGACTGAGGTAGTGCATATGTGCAAACGCCTCCCAGCTAGGCGTTATGTCCTACATCTCGCAGGCGGCTATATATCCTAGTATATTCACCCAAGAGTTGGGTGTTAGCTGCCAAACGCCAAGATTGTATCCCTTTAGAATGGCTTTTATTGTATTATGGAAGGGGAACTAGAGGCCGGCTTTGAACGCCGCCTCATAGCAGCCGAAATAATTATCGGCATGATCAAGGTCGTCATCCCAGACGACGGTTGCCTCTACAGGCGGCACCACAATCTCCCATCCGATCCCAACCGGGCGCTTTTTCAAAAATGCGAGAAAGGTGGCATTTAGAGTGACCACATCCCGGGCAGTCATGTGCGCCTCTGTTGGATTGTTAATAGAGGGCCATTTATATGCCTCCTTATCCTCTTGGGGGCATCCGGTTCCATAGTAGACTCTGTGGAGTCTAATTGCTGGATAGTCTCTTCGCCGCCTGTATCCTCGGAATCGTCCAAGATATCATCTCCGGGCATGCTAGGTACGCCCGGCTGGTCATAAGGTACAAAGTCAGACGGAACTTCTGCTGAGCCGTCTGACTGATATTCGAGGTCTACAGCCGTTCGTCACGTCTGAGCCATTCTGTCCTACACATGAACAGAGACGGTCGGATTCGCAGAAGAGTAAGGGTGGTACAAACACCCCCAGACGGCATCCCCAGTCCTAGACTCAGTCGTATCCAGTGAGCGGCTGACAACTGTCCTAGGTCGTGCCGTGTGTGTGTTGGGTGAGTCCATTATTCTTTACAAGCTATACAACCGGAAAAACGCAAAAAAATTGCAAGGGGTAGAGACGGTACCTTGAAGTTGTAAAAAATCTGAAGACGGTTGACTCCTTGAAGTCAGCAGCCGGAAATCCTTTTTGTTGCTTGATGATACCCCAGACGGTAGCCCGAATGTACCCCCTGAATAACAGCTGAATTTCACTGAAGACCCAGACCTTTTTTTGGAAGTTTGCTTGAAGATACCCCAGACGGTTGTGATCAGCTGTGGGTGTACTGGAAGCTAGGGAAAGGTCAAAGGGTCCTTAGGCGATTTGAAGTCTGTATTAGACAAAGAGCACTCATACGGAAGTTGGATGAGTGAAAGAGGGGAAGTTTTTGCAAATAAAAGCAGCCGGTCTTAGAGCTCTTTTCTCAGGAAGTTTTTTGAAAATATGTGAAGTGTTGAAAATAAGGGGGAGGGTTTCTACTTATAGAAGAAGAACCCAGAAGGCGAACTGTCACCTCCCCATTTCAAATTCAAATTAAAAAAAAAACAGAGAGAAGGAGACGAAACGTCACCTTCTCAGAGCGTGACACCTGTCACAGGTGCCACGTGGCAAGCTAGTCACACCTGCGAGGGGAAAATGTTTAGGGTAAAAATACCCTATCCACGTGGCCCTATAGCATGCCGACACGTGTGATCAGAGAGGTCTTAGGGGATCCAATCCTCTACAGACATGTGACACTTTAACCCTAAAAGGGGAACTGATCCCCTTCCTCTATAAATAGAGGAAAATCCTCAATTATTACACATTCATAAATATACACACCAAAACCAAGCAATATTAATTGCATAATCCTCTCGGAACCCGAGGGAAAAACCTTTACATTCCGCACTTTTATACATCCGAACACGTTCTAACTTGATCGTCGAAGGCGGAACTCCACCCAACCGGAGTTTCCGTGGTTTTGCAGGTACAGACGACCGACGCGCATTCTTGGAATTGTAACTCTCCCGAGGGACTCCAAAAACCCCGAAACAAATTGCATCCATTTAAAGTTTGTATTTTGTAAATTGCAGCCATTTAAAAAAAATCGCAAATTGCAACCCAAAAGTATTAATAATTTGTTAATTGCCACCCAATCCAATTTTTTCCTCAATTTGCGTGCCAAAAATATTATATTAAGATTTCAGGAGTCATTTTAGCGAGCTCGAAATTGGCCAAAAATTAACGTAAGTTCCTCATTTTCACAGCATAAAATAGTTGCACATAAATTAATACATTTTTTTGATACAATTCCTTTTGCTTTAAACAGTTGGCTTTGTTTTGTGCTTGTATGGGCGGGATCATGTATTATTTAGAGCATGAGCCGGACACGATGGCTCCCTTTTCGCGGGGCATATTACGCCGTTTCTTGGCCGCCAGCCGGATTAGTAATCCTAGTCCTCCACCGAATCGTAATGCTTCATACGCATATTTACAGGCTTTCGAGGCCATGGAAAAGCCAAATATACAGGAGAAGGAAGGAGCTGCAGAGGCGGCTTTTGCCAAGTATAATCTTGAGGCTATCTCAGGGCTCTGAGAATTTAAAGATAATAACCTAGCTGTTGATTCTTTGATTTTCAACACATTATTTAAGCCATTATCTCTTCCACTTTTCTTCTTCAAAATTCTAATCATAGCACAGTAAGCGGTCCAAAAGTGGAAGGGGTTTCATGTGCATGAATGATAAATTCGGGGAGTAATCTATATGTTGCTTCTTATCAGATCATAGGTTATTTTTTAAATGCAACTCGCTCTATTACTGCAATTAGAGTTGGCAAATGTATAGTGTGTGTCGTGTCTTGCTCATGTTCATAGTCAAAGATAAATGGGTTGAGGTTCCTTAAAAGTGTCGTGTCATTCTGTGTTAACCTGTTTAGTTAAATGTGTTGAAAACCCTTAGTAACATACTTTTTCATGGTTAATTCGTGTTGTATTGTATGATGTTAAAAAAAAAGTTGGTCTCGTTTTAAAGATTTATCATCAATTCTATAAATTATTGGAATTATTTTCTAGATAGGTAGAGTTGTGTCGATTAAGTGTTAAAAAAATAGGTCAGTTTGTAAAATGGCTCATAGCAAAGGATTACTACGGAATCTTAGATAATTTCCCTAGTTTCCATAAGTTGGGGATTTAGATTTGTAAGTGTAACTTTTGGTTTTCATCAAAGTCGTATCAACGTTCCATTGTAATCTATAAGTTCAATTATTGATATACTTCTTAGAGTTCTTATACCATAGAACTCTCTTTTTTTTCATTTTTTTTTAAAGAAAAATTTATTTTACATTTATTGTACAATCAATGTCCATTTTCCTTTCTTTTCATATTACTCCCTCATTCTGTTTTGCAATATTTGAAAATTTAGAATTTGAAGTAGGTCCGTGAGGGTATTTAGTACATGAAAGCAAAGATATACACGAAATTTGATTACAAGTTATAACTTTAATCAAATATATTAGTACACAACAACACATTCATATTACACATACCTTAAATTATAGCTTAAGTCAACTATTTAATGAAAAGTTGTGACACATCCATGTCATCTTTATTCTTGAAAAGAAAGTACTACTTCCTTGATATACACACATACTTTCACACATAATAATTACCTTTTTCATATAAAAATAATAGTTGCGTTCTCGACTAGTAATGTGACAACAAATTAATACCAGATAATCGTACTACATAGAGTTTCATTTTTACGACGATCCATATCATACTTTGCCAAATCGTCTTCCTCTTTGCTGATAAGAACGTAATGCCTTAACAAATTCATCTTCTCCAAAATCAGGCCAAAGTGTATCAGTGAAGTACATCTCACTATAAGCTGATTGCCAAAGATAGTAATTACTTATACGTAATTCGCCGCTTGTTCGAATGAGCAAATCGGGCGATGGCATGTCCGTAACATTAGTTTGAAGATTTTCCTCAAACAAAGACTTGGTTATATCTTCAGGTTGAAGAAGGCCATCCTTCACTTTGGTAGCAATGGTTTGACAAGCATGCACTATATCATTTTGGCCACTATAACTCATTGCTAAGACAAAATGAATCCCATTGTAGTCTTTTGTTGCTTCTTCGATTTCTTCAACTGCTTTTCTTAAGGAACTGGATAGTGGAGATCTATCTCCAATCATAGAAACTCGTCCTCCATATCTGTTTATTTTATTATGTTAGCACAAGAGAACTCTAGGGATTTAAAAATATTCATGGTCAATGTTATACTTTGAAAAATAAAAGTTGCATATTTAAGATAGAAGCAGATAAAGATTCATGAAAGAGAGTGAGTATGAAAGCTGATACTCCCTCCGTGTTTTAATCAGTGTTACAATTTAACCAAACACGTATGTCAAGACATAACTTTAACCATCAATTTATCTTATATATATTAGTAAAATTATAGGAAAATTCATATTATGAAAGTATACATTATAACGAATCCAACAATGTGTTATACAATACCAAACTAAGATTGGTCTAGTGGTAAGGATTTTACCTTCTAACCTTGAGGTTGGAGGTTCAATCCCCCACTTAAGATACTTTGAGGTGGGGATTCCTTACCCTTCCCCCCTCACTCTCAAAGCGTCTGACTCGCAAATATCGGACCAAAAAAATCGTGAGGGTTGAGGTATCGTCAGGGTCCTTCTCCTTACCTTAAATAAAAAAATGTATTATACAATAACCTATATTTGTTTTTTTATATATTAGTAAATTAATCAAGTTAAAATCATTATGTGAATAGTGAAAAAAGTCACAATATAGTACTCCCTCCGTATTTAAATAAATGAAACGTTTTGACTTTTTGCACTATTCATCTAATTCACTTTGACTAATGTTTGTGATTTATAAATAATAATAAGTATAATCTTGTGAGCACTTGTTGTAATCGTCCCAATGAATAGATTATTAATATTCAATTGTTATCATTTTTACTTATTTATAATTAAAGATATTATCAATCAAAGTATTGAATAATCAAAGTATTGAATTGGCATACATGCACAATGGAAACGTTTCATTTATTTTAGAGGGTATTGGGTGCGGACTGCCGCACGCAAATTATGCGTGCGGCAGGCTTGGCTGATGTGTTTCATTTGTTGGTTGATATGTTTCATTTGTTGACTGATATGTTTTTTGTATTGACTTATATATTCCTTTTGTTGGCTGATATGTTTCTTAAATATGTGATATGTTCCTTTTGCTGGTTGCTATTAGTCATTAGTTGACTGATATGTTTCTTTAGTTGGCTTATATCTTTATTTTGTTGGCTGTTATGTTTATTTTGTTAGCTTATATGTTTCATTTTTTTTTGCTGATATGTTTATTTTGTTGGCTTATATGTTGCTTTTGTTTGTTGATTTTATTCTTTTGTTGGCTTATATGTTTTATTTTGTTGGTTGTTATGTTTATTTTGTTGGCTTATATATTCCTAATGTTGGCTGATATATATGTTTTGTTGGCTGATATATTTCATTTATTGGCTGATATGTTTCTTTTGTTTTTTTTTTTTTTTTGCTGATATGTTCCTTCTGTTGGCTGATACGTTTTTATTAATGTATGATATGTTCTTAATGTTAACTAATATAAGGCATCAATTGACTGACATATTCATTTTATTGGCTAATATTTTTATTATATTGGTTGATCCACAAAATTAAACATTTAAACTTTAACTCATAAAAAAAATAAAAAATAAAAAAATAAAAAAAATAAAAAGTCTCCTGAACTCCACCAGCACCAAATCGTAACTCCAAAACCTTCCTAAATCATATCATAAACTTAAAAAACAATACTCCATGTATCACAAATAATAATGATACAAAGCCAACAATTGTTTATGTACGAACAAGTAGCTTAATAAACAATTCATCACAAGCGAATGAACCAGCGAACTCCAGCAATTGAAGCAACAATTGAACCAGCGAACTCCCCTGCGACCTGCACCAGCGAATCGCGGCCGCTTCTCCGGGAAACACTACTCTCTTTTGAAGCAAAACGTTGATGCTTTGAAGATTATTAAATTAGGGTTAACGTTGATGAATTCAAATGGAAATCTGCCGAATCTCGTAAATTGCGAACTCCACACCTGCAATCGCACCGCCAAATCGCAGGAGAGAGAAAGAGAAGGGAAGAGAAGAAGGAGAGAGAAAGAGAGGGGAAGAGAAGTAGCAGTGTCACGCACCACCAAAACGCTGCCGCACAAACAATTTGCCGCACCCAATAGTCTGTGTTTATTTAAATACGAAGGGAGTACTTATTAAAACAAGGAGGGAGTAGTATGCAACCATCACACACATTAAGGGGGCGTTTGATTAGTGTATTTTTTGAATTGGAAACGGATTCGATTAAAATGATATCGTTATCATGTGTTTGGTTAGAAGGCATGGTAACAATTACCATTACCATTACCTAAAGGTAATGGTTAACCCCTTATTTGTTACCTCTAAAAAACTTGGGGTAACAAATACCCTTACCCTCCTATAAACAAATCCCTTTTAATGATTAAACCAAACAAATAAAAAGGTAATAGCTAAATGATTCATTTTCCCCTCTTATTTGTTTCATTTCCACTCCGTTTTTATTTTTCTAACCAAACGCCCCCTAAAAGAATTAAACAAGATGTCATGAGTACTCGTACTATTTTTAAATAGTGTCTGGGTGTAAGTAGAGCCAGGGCTGGCAATCCCTAACCCGACATGATAACCCGACGTGAACCCGACTCGAAGTTACTGAGAGAAACCCGAACCGAACACGAACAACCCGAATTTGACCCAAATTTCATATTTTGTAATAATATTATTCTCTCCGTGTTTTAATAAGTGTTACACTTTGACCGGCACATGGTTTTGGGTAATTTCATTGATGACTTATATAAAATAAGAGGTAAGTGGGATAGTTGGAGTATTAAAAAATTGTAAAAGAAAGATAGTGGGGTTAATAATTTATTGAAAAATAGAAATAAAAAAAATAGTACTAGGCTTGGGTGGGGACTATGAGAGGAGAGAGATATAATATTAAAATGTAGTTTTTTGCCAAAAAAGGAAGTGTAATACTTATTGAAATACGGTCGCATTTAGTAAGTGCAACACTTATTAAAACACGGAGGGAGTAAGTTTTATACTATTTTTTTTATAGATTTTAAGAACAACCCGAAATCTGACCCGAATTGTCACCCCTAAGTAGAGCCTTTCAATTATTACCTACTACTTATAAGACTAAAAAGTTATTAAATCAAGTGTGCTGGTTGGATTCGGATCAAATCTCTTAAAGCCGGGTCATATCGAATTTTAGTTACAAAGAACTTTAAATAAGTCAATTGTGGGATCAGATCTTTTTAATTAGGTCAATTCGGGTATTTTCAAGTTATTCTTATGCCATCTCAGTTTTATAGTTCTAGGTGTAGAGAGTGAGGGATAGTTCGAGTGGTTAGAGCTTCCCTTCCGATTTCAGGAGATTTTGGGATTGATTCTCATCAATTTGCCTTTTGGCTCTCACAACAACAACAACAAAAAAGAAAAAAAAAAGTTCCAAGTGCAACTTGTGCAAGCTTAGCATGCATGTCCAATTCAAATAGTTGCTAAACTTGGTATAATAAAATAGAAATATGAGAACTTTAATGAATACATGCATAAGAATTCTTAGTAATTATAAGGTGCTCTTTACCTACGACAAAAGCGTAGTAGATAGTACTTCAATGATCCTTCAAAAAGTTCGAGCAAGAAGTCAACTTCATCCTTGTATAAACAACAAAAACACAAAATATGAATTAATCGAGATGTTTGAATACGAACTTATATATACCGAATCTTATTTTATTTTAATGTGAATAGTTTATATCTTATACATAATAATTAACGAACTAATATTACATGTATTATTTGTTGCGTGGATCACTAGACAAACTGTTGAACTAATATATAGAATTGGGAAGGTTGTAATGATAAACATAAAACTACTAAACTGATGAGAGAATAAAACAAAGAACAAATTTTCTGACTAATTCAATACTCTCATAAAAATATTTAATGCAAACTGAAGAATAAATAGCAAACTGAATAACTAGAATAGCCTAAGACTTAGGAACATGATTTCAGTACTATCCATTATTTTTTTTATTTTTTTTTTTGGGAGTGCAAAACAAGACACTAGGCCCTGGAAAACAAAAAAAGACAAAAACAAACTAGGGGGAATAAAACGTGGTAGAGCCACGCCAACTATATCATTATGTAAAATACGCCCTAAGCAAAGGGGGGACTTGAATACTATCCCATGACCTTAGCAACGTAACAAATTGACCCACTAACAGAGGTTAACTGACAACACCTTAAGTTAATAATTTCCTAACAATACACCACTATCATTATTTGCACACTACTGAGAGTGAAGGATAACTCAAGTAGTTAGAGCTTCCTTCTCAATTGCAGTCGATCCTGCAATCGATCCTCACCCCGTCCTTGGGGCTCTCTAAATACCAAAAAAAAATTATTTGCACACTACTATACTAAATTTTGAATCTCACGTATATTTGATTTTGCTATACATGGACTTTATTTTCTAATCCGAATTTATTCAAATTTAATTGTACGTCTGTTATTGAATGAAGGTGAAAAGAACACAATAATCCTTATAAACCAAACTCACCTTTGGGCGAAGCCAATTCTCAGATGAGAACATAAAAAGCGAGATAATAGGAATATTCCATCTTCGACACAGAGTAATAATCTCCCCTAAAGTCCCAAGACCAACTTCATAGCCTTCAACAGGGACAAGACCTCTCTTCTTAGCCCACCTCCGATTCCCATCCAATATCATAGCCACGTGTCGTGGCATCAGTTCACGTCGTAGCCCCTTCGGTAGCTCACCATCACCTTCAATATTACCATCCAGCTTGAATGCTGATGATAACATGTTCACAAATTCCCTTTTATACACTTGTTCTTGTTTCTTTTTGAAAAATAGGAATAATGGCATGCTTAAAATCCAACTTGGGATTATTGCCATGATAATCGACCATATTTTAATTAAAATTCTCATGTTTTCAATTGTTTTTATTTCTCTTTGGGTGTTAGAATTGGTTGATTTTTGCTCTTTGGGTTTTATTCTAAATCAACTAATGTTATGATGGTTATATATATGCATAAACATCTAAGATTATGCCTAAAATTGCTACACGCATGATTTAATTAAGTGATCAGATGCGTTGACCTTTTGAGGCATGTGCCATAGTGAGTTGTAAGTCTTGCGACTAGAAGCACAAAAACTGATTCGACTGACCTGATCTTGGAATAAAAATTCTAAATGAGATTTTAATTTGTATGGTTACAATGTTTAGCATGACTCAAATTTAAAATAAACACGATCCGACTCGACTTTACTGATCCCGACATGCTAGACAGTTGAATTGACAACCCTACTTGTGAATGATGGCAAAGTTATTTTTATTTTTATTTTTTTTTTGAAAGGGAAAGAGCAAAGTTACTTGTAAAGCACATTAATGTTGAAATTATAATAGAGAAAGAAAAATGAACCTGTACTACTAGGTATCCAATACACTCCTGAAATTTAAACTACTTCCGTCTAAACATAATTACATCATTTTGACTATTGACACTATTTACTTGTTTAATTTTGACCATAATATTCTCAAATTATCAACTTTATAATTATGAACATTAGTGGTCATAGTAAAGATGAAGAAGTATAGAGAAAAACAAATACTCCGTAACTAACTAGAGCTACAAACTAGGAAATCTATGTATCACATGATTTAATTAATATCATCCCTAACCCCCTACCTACATGATCTCAAATCTCAACAACCTCCTTTTTTTTTTTAAATGGAATAGGAAGGAGTGATTTCATTAAATAAATAATAGTCAGTCAGCACTTACAATCATCCCTTAAGGAATCTAAATTTTCAATACACGTATTTAACACCTCCAAATTAATGGCATTGGTTATGAACTGCTCCTGAACAATTCTAAATGTCTTTGCATCGTTTTTGACGGAGCTCTATTGATGTATAGTTGCGAAAGTGATAAAACTTGAAGTCATTATGATCGACAAATTTGCAAGACGAATCTTCTAAATCTGCACCCCTAAATCAACAGACCCACAATTCTACAAATTAGCAAGACGAATCTTCCAAATTTGCATCCCTGCACACACGAAAAACAAACAAACAAACAATACTAAAAAATCCACCATTAGGGAACTCACTAAACCTTACATTGAGGGACTTTTTATAATCCCCATACTGAAGGTGATCTTTATTGGCTAAAAACATTAAATTGAAGAAGAATTTGGGGTTTACTATTAATAAAATCGATGCCAGCCCCTAAGTTTTACTATGATGGCTAGGTTTGAAGATCGAACATAGAATTTTTTAGGGTTTTTTTTTTTAGAGAGAGGTCACTTTGATCTCAACAACCTAAGATCCACAATTATTATAAAAGGAAGATTTGAGGATCTACTATCTACATATGACTAAGGGCTTGTTTAGTTCACTTTATTTGTGCTTATATGAATTATCTAATTTGGTGTGATCTGATTGTTTGATTTGACCAAACTTTGACCTTAAGTGTACAATAATTTATAAGGAAAAAATATATATTAAGTGGCGTCTTGTTAGATTCCAATAATTTATTTAACTATTAATAAAACAAAACATGTTGACATCATCAACCCCCAAACTATCATATATGTCATGCTCTTATTAAAATATTTTCCCTCCAATTTTATATGTGATGTCACCAATTTTATATATGATACTAAAATTATTGACTTTATGTTATAATACTTCAATATGTATTAACCACAGACATTTGTCTTTTTGAAATGTGTAGGCTGAGATTGTAACCAACTAACGACTATTGTGATACATGACTATTCGCAAAAGCTATTAGGATGGTAGTATTGATCATATTCCATTTGATATCACATTTTTTTTATATATTTAATTACTCCAAATTAGGTTGTTCTAGTCATTTTTTATTGGAGTTTGATTTAATAGATAACTAGATTAGTCTCGTGCGAAGCACGATTTGAATAAATGAAATTTTCAAAATTTGTTTAATTTTTCATACCAAAATTAAAAACAAGAATAAATTCCAAAAACAAATAATACGTCAAATATTAAGGAAAAAAAATTAGAGCTCATAGAAAAATTGAATGATGAAAGGTCATCTAAGAAAGAAAAATTAAATTATGATTGTTAGAAAGAATAGATTGTTTTTCAGAAATTGATACTATTAATAATATATCTTACTTGAATTTTAATAAAATAAAATAAAATAAAATTCATAACATAATGACATCATTTAATGTTTTGGAGGGAAATTTTTTAATGACAACATGACATGTGTCTAAATTTAGGATAAGATGATGTCAGCGATTGCTATTTTAGTATTAGTTAAAAGATAGATTATTGTAAGGATTTGCCTTGCTCTGTATTTTAAGTCACGTTGATTATTTTTTTGTTTTTTTGATAAAAAAAAGTCACGTATGTGTAAAAATATAATTGTACTTAATTTGTTTTGATTTTTTTATAGATTCATAATTAAGCCATGTACATCTTTTAAGTACTTCTCATAATAAAAATCGTACATCGTACGGGAACTAACCTATTATACATTAAGATAAAGCTAACAACTTATTTATCAACATTTTGTTTTATATAATATCAAAAATACATGGTCAAAGTTGAGTAAAAAAAGTTAAATATGTCAATTTTTCTGAGACAAATGGAATAACTCGTATAATAAATTAGGGTTACTCTTATAGGCAAAATAAGGTTACCGATATGAATAATTAAAGTTACTAATATTAACGAATAGCAGTTACTCTTATAAACAAATTTGGCCACACACAAAACTTATTACGTTCGAAATGTAGTACTTAATGATGTTAGATCGTTGATGATGAGAAATGTAACAATTTAGAAAATCAGAGGTATTGTATGAATTTAATGGATTTATTACTTTAATCGAACTATTTATTTTGATGATGAGAAATGTAACAATTTAGAATATTTTTTTCCTTAAAGATGATAGCTTAAGTAGTTTGCTGTTTGTATGAGCTAGTTTGACTATAAGAATAATTTTTTTGCATTAAAATTAACTCGTTGTAAAAACAAAAAAAAAAAAAAAAAAAATCAAATCTTTATAAATTTGATGTCAAAATATATACTACTCCATAATGCACAAAAATCTTTTTCTCTATAACTACAATTTTATGAATTAATGCACAAAATAAAAATGGAGTAATGTTTAATTTCTTACAAACTCTATTATTGTATAATTATTAAGGAGTTACATTTCCAAGGGAAATTGTTATGCCGCATATAAAGAGTTTATCAATTAAACTAAACATTAATACATGAAGATTAATGCATGGAGTTTTTCAATCATTAATGGTATGGTATGATTTGGCGACACATCATATGCCAAATGGCAAAATTGGTGACACATGACAAAACAACATGTCTTGTCATGAGTTTTAATAATATATATTGATATGACCTTTAATGAGAATTGTACCACTTACAAAAAAAAAAAAAAAAAAAAAAAAAAAAAAAAAAAAAAAAACAGATCGGGTATCTATGAATTTAATGTATGGAAATAAATTAATTGAATCTACACGCAAACGTTAGTTGAATATTTATTTGTGAAGGAGCGAACTTAATACTAGTATAATTGATGAGACTTAACACTTTAGTTGGTATTTTACGTTTATACATAGAATTATCAATTACAAGTAGTAATAATTTACGAAATGCTCTTAAACAATACTAATCTATTAAAAAACGTTCTTAAGAACGTCTATGTGCCACGTAGATCCCTTTTCATTATGCAACGTCACCCAATCAGCGAACATTACTCCAAGTAAAAACATGAGGATAACAAGACAAACATCCATCCTCTAATACGAAGGACAGTAATTTAACAAATGTGATGATGAGAATAGAAACCAAAAGCACGTCCGGAGTCTTCGTTGTCCAAGATAAGAAAACCATCTATAAGAGTAACATAAGCATGAGACTTTTTGGTAGTACCGGGTGAAGCAAATGCCGCAGCGATAGAATCTGGGACAGAGGACTCGTAGTATCTCTTTAGATCTAGCCAATCATCAACCATGTAATAAACATGAAAATAAATGTATATAATTACAAATCACAAGGTTTAATTTAAAAAAAAAAAAAAAAAAAAAAAAAAAAAAAAAAAAAAAAAAACAAACCCTAATTATCAAATAAATATAATCACAAAGAATAATTAAAGTATTAACTCGGTGTAATACTCGGATTACACACTAGTTATCAATTACAAGTAGTAATAATTTACGAAATACCTCAAGCTTTCTTAAACACAAATTATGGCGTTTTATTTGGATCTGTATATATAGTGATTACGATATCCTGTGTTATTGGAGCATTTTTCTGTCCTCATTATTACATGTGTGTCCCTAGATTTTAACAAAATGAAGTACTTATTAGTTGTCCATCATATGCACTTTAGAGGATCAACTAAATAAAAACTTTAAGTTAATGGTGAACCTCATAATTGTGGAAGTAATTGATGACCTAATTGTATATACGTAGTAGTTATTATTAGTTCAATGTTTTGTTAAAAATATTATAAAAAATAGTTGTTGAATGAAATGAAAAAAGTTTGTCTTGGTCATGTGCTATTGAGTAAATTGTAGAAAAGCTGTAAAATTAAAGAAATAATTCAAATAGAATGGATTGGCAATTTCGCATAGTTTATAGCATTCAATGGAATATCGAGGACTATTTGGGGCGGCATATAAGTAGTCAAGGCAAGGTTGCATTATGGTGTAAGCTAGAAGACATATTTGACATCCGATTGTTGCTCCCAAATTACAAGGGATCGCTCGTATTTTTGTCATGAATTTCCGTATTTGCCCCTCATATATAAATACTCACGACACTCACTCGCGCAACACATTTCACGCTCATACTTCTCTCTCTAAAATTTTATCTCTCTAAAATTTCAAATTCTCTCCAAAATTCAAAAAATCAGAAATTTAGGAAAAAAAATCTGAAAAACCCAAAAAAAAAAGACAGAAAATTAGAAAAACACCAACAACCACCACCAATCCAAGGAGGGTACAAGAAATCCAGCAATGGCGGACCGGCGA